GTGCGTGGCGAACTACGTGTTTTAAAGGTTCTGGTAGCAATGGGTGTCTTTCTTCAAATGTATATGGGTTTTCTTGAAGTGAAATATGCGTTGATGATTGGGGTTGATTTGTCTGACTAGACGTTGGTGTTGTTGGATATTCCTGGGATGTCGTAGTCGGTGGGGAATGTTGTGTTCGTTGTTGATTAGCAATTTTGAAAAGTTATTCAATTTTTACTTTTGAAGAAAATATTATGTTGATCATAATAATCTTCTATGAAAACGATTAAAAGTGTTGTTGCTAGTGCCAAAGTTTTTATTGCTTTTTTATACATTTGCATACTGTCAAAATTAGGGAGAAAAAATTAGAGAATTGTCACTAAAAAAGAAAGATGTCTTTCTAGTTAAATAAATGTCTTAACAATTAGATTGTTGTTGAAATATCGTACCTGAGGAAGTGGTCAAGAATTTGTGCGAAGTTGAGATAGGCTATTTGTAGTGAGTGAAAAATTACGAAAAAACTGCAAAAAATTACGAGGAGAAGGAGAAATATTTCAAAGGTGTCTATAATAATAAATATACTAATTTGAAAAAAGATTAATAGTAGTGAAAAAAGTTTTGAGATTTTTATGTTGAGGAGACGAACTGAGCGAGAAAAAAGCATTTGAGACATCATTTGTCCTTGCCGAATTATTTTTTATTTTTCGAGGCCAAATTTGTGTGTGGTTTGATTGTTTTATGATTTTTGACAAGTGGGTAGGACATAGTCAATTTTTGGTGGGGGGAAGTCTGGGATCTAAGAATGAGCTTTCTAGTTTTGTTTGTATTTGCTGGATGATAGGGGGTATTCAGAAGTTATTTGTTCTTTAGGCTAAATGATCATGTCTTATTTTTACTTGAGGCTTGATTTAGTATTTTTCTTGTCTAGAAAACTAGAGTGTAAGTTGGGACAATATTGTTGATCTTTGTACCATTGGTAGGGGAGGGTTGTAATATTCAGATTTTGTTTATTTCGGTTGTCAAATATGAGCTTGTTGCCTATTTTTGAACTAGAGGTCTTTGAATTATAGTTTCAAATATGTTTGAAGTCCGCAGAAAGTCGGCTAAAGAAGTGGTGTCAGAATGGGGTGATGTTTAGATAGTTTCTCATTGGCTAAAGTTGAACTAATTGTTCAAGAGTGTCAGCATGAATTTTATCAAAGAGAAAAAAAGTTTATTAAATCTTTGAAAATTTAAAATTATTTAAATGGAAAGAGGTTTTTGAAACTGAACTTTCTTAATTTTTTAGATTGTGGAACTTTGTAATTTTTTTGTGGTTGACTTCTAAGTCGTGATGATTGTCGATGTTGAGATTATTCTTTTGATTCTTGTGATAAAATTTTTTCTTCTAGTTTTTGATTTTTTCTTTGTCTTTGAGGTATTTGTTTATTGCTTATTTCTTGAGATTTTACTCGGGTCTTTTCAGTTTCTTTATTTTTTGGTTCTAATAATTGTGCTGAACAATTTAAATCATGTGTTTGTTGGTGATTTTCGTCTGAGTTGTCGTGGACAACCTTGAGTCTTGTAATGGAGTAAAACTGTGTTATTTCGCGAAGAGCGTTTTCTTTTGGGTAATATGGTAAAAGATTGTTTCTGTGTTGAATTATTTCCTTTTTATTTAAATCATTAAGTTTTTATGTTACATCAGTAGGTTTGTCAATAGTTTGAAATGGTCCTTTTTGGATTTGTTGTAATTTTTTGTATATTCCATTTTGTGTTACAAAATTTGGTTTTAAGAAATACGTTTCAAATTTTAGGTTTGTAGCTGGTGTTAATCGTGATTTAATTTGTGATTGAACATTCTGTCTTTGTAATAGTTCTTTGGTTTTTTTTTAAATAAATTTCATTGTGTTTTCTATCTTTAATTAAAATCAATTCGGTATTTGTCAAAATATTGTCTGCCTGTGTTCTGTGAGCGCTCGGAATCTCAATTTGGTCTACTTAAAAAAAGGTCAACAAATTTTCAAAGTTTTTTTGAACATCCGCCCCCTCAACAAAAAATCTATATCCGCCCCTCTTTGTTTCATTGCCTTCTTAGAATTTTAAAGTTTCTCACAAAACTGATTTTTAATGGTGGGGGAAAGTGGAAAAGAGCCAGGGCTTCGCCTTAATGCGAACAGTTTTGTCAAGTTTTTAAATTGTCAATGATTGATTTTTCTTTAACAGAAATTTTTATTTAACCTTCATTTTAATGGTTAATGGTTTCAATTCAACTTGGGTTGATTAAAGAGTTGTTTTTATTGGGCACCTATGCTATGCACTGGAAGAAACTGGAAACTTTGCGCGCGTTAATTATCTCATTTAAATTGGCAAAGTAGCAATTTTTAATACCCATTTTTTAACAATCATTTCGTGTGCTTCTTTGAAAGTCATATGAAAAGTCAGTCGTTTGTTTTTCGTTCAAAAGGTTTCTTTTTTTTTCTTCTCCACTTTCTTGGCAAGGCAAAATGCGTTTTAGCTGGAAGCAGAAAATTTAGTTCTCAACAATTTTTTTTATTATGTTGGCATTTTGACAACTATTTTGCTATTTGTCCATCAATCCAATTTTGTAAAATAAGGTAAACTACTTACCAGATACAATTTAGTTTGAATGTTTAATCGTTAAGTTAGTTTTTCATAGAAATTATAAAATCACTCCTATAAAGGGTTTACTTAAATGGCAATAGCAATAAGAACTCTACGTAAAACGGCAAAACCAATAAGAAACCTTGCTCAACTAAAAAACTCACTGCTGAATACATACAGGGTTACACTTCTAAAAATCTAGTTCTCAGTCAGCTTTATTATTCAGTACCAATATTGTTGGCATTTGAGAAAATTCGCTAAACACATCAGACAGAATTAATAGTTCTTTGGACCACTTTTTTCAAAGTTCAATTTCTCTAAACAAAATATTTTCTATGCAACCCAGAGTAAGATACTATACTAGCATATACTTTTTCAAATGAAATAAAACCAAATTGACGCGTTTTGTTCGAACATATTTTCCAAATTACGAAATCTGCAAATTCAAAGGACATACTAAAAAGTGGCTTACTTCAAATTAACCATGACAAACCTTTTCTTTTTAAAGCAATGGGTTTAATTTCTTGCTTGAAAAACTAAAAGACAGAAACTCCTATCCTGTTTTTAAAAACAACTGAACAAACACTTGAAAAGATTAAATAATAAAAATTTTTGATAACATTTTTTGATCGATAACAATTTTTTGCAAGATTAAGATTACAGCTATTTAGTTTATCTTTTCAACGCAGTCCTTACCATCTTGAGATCACTTAACTCATTAAAGGCTTAAGCTACTATTATCAGCTCAATGTTGAGTCGGATAAAAAACTTTTGGTTTGTTCATTATTGTACACTAGATAATGTGTGATTTGTTCACTTTTGGTTTGTTCATTATTTTACACTAGAACACTACCCGCAATGACAGAAATGGATTAGGATCAATTTTAGTACGAAAAAAGTACGTTGATTAAATTTAGATCGATTTTAGTCTGAAAAAGTGCTAAGATTAGATTTTAAAAATGAATATTGATTTTGATCGATTTAAAATTAATTTAAATTGATCTTAAATCCGAGCCAAAAAATTGATCCTAATCGATTTTAAATCAATTTCAATGCATTTTTTCTAGTCTGAGTTTGTTTTTACTTTTAAAGGGATTAGAACGGATATAAATCGATTTAAATCGATTTTTTTTATTCGAGATTTATCAGTTTCGAATTTTTATTGCATTTATTCATTGCCTATCACTTTTCATTTCACATCCATATCGTATTGTAGCATAAAACAGACCAAAAAAATACCAAAATATTGATAAAATTCTATGAGTTTTGATACTTTTCTTGATTCGTTTTATATGTTTTGCCCAAAATCTGATTTATCTTCATAATGTTCTATGATTTATTTGCATATTAATTAAATCAAATTTCAATTCATTCTGACCCTTTTCTTGTTTTTTACATAGGATTTTGCAAAATCTGATTTACAATAGTTTTCTATAATTTCATTGTCTATTTTCGAGTTTAAAATCTGATTTATGTGGATCATTTTATTGAATTCTTTAACATCTGGCACGAGTGTTTGTTTTAAAAAATCGAGAATAAAAAATTTCAACTATTTTGTTAAAGGGTATGATTTTTTCGCCGTGTTAGCAAAAAAAAATTGATTTTTGTGAGTCTGAAAATCCATCGAAATCGATTTAATTCGATTTTTTAGACACTCAAATTGATCCAAAGTTTTGAAGAAAGATCGATTTAAATCGATTTAAAATGGATTTAAGTGAGATTCGGATGGATTTTAGTTGGTCGGAAAATCCATCAAAATCGATTTAAATCGATTTTTTACACACTTAAATCGATTTAAAAATTTCAAAAAGATCGATTTAAATAAGTTCGTAAAATGTACATTGTTAATCGATTTGGATCGATTTAAAATCGACTTAAAATCAATTTAAATCGATCTGAAAACATTTTTGTCAGTGCGGGTAGATATTGTACACTAGACCTTTTTTAAATCAATTCTGAGTTTGTCTCTCTCTTTGGCTTTTATAATCCAAGAACATGAAGAGTATTTGAACAACGCTTGATCGCTTTTTAAAGAGAATTATCAGATTTTTTTTGAAATTAAACCGTTTGAGCAACTTTCGTTTATTAATGCGGAATTTTATTTTCATTGTTTCATCAATCCAGCTCTGCTCGCCTTTTTTCTGACAAATTTTTGCACCAGTTTTTATTTGAAATTCAATGGGGCGAGACTTAAATGAATGGATTTTTTCTCACTTTTTAAGCAGTTCATCACATTTGTCTACAAAAAACAGTTTCGTTGATTTAGCCCCGATACGAGAGATCATTCAAACTTTCTTGAATTGTTGAAAGCAAGGAGCAAGGACAATTGTCCCATGATTGAAAATTAGCACCGGAAAAATAAAAATGCTAAAAAAGTAGCCACGAAAAGAAATTCGCTTTCTAATCTGTTATTTTACCTGGTACGTGATGGATGCATTTCTGAAGGCTTGCTGTACGTAGTCCGTCTTATCGTAAATATTGACGCTATTTTGTGCAATCATGATTTTGTGATAGTAGTTGCCCATTCTCATGTGCACAAACACCATCGGACAGCCAGTGTTCTATTCGAAATGATACAAATGAGGATCATGAATATATCACCAAATCTGTTTATTTGAATACCCATTTTGGAATTCAAAGCCTCCTTACCCAAGAGTTTCCTATTTCACGATATTTTTGCTGAAATTTTTTTATTTCTTTTGAAAAGTTTCTGTGGCTCCCATATAATCCTTATTATTGAGGAGCGAAATTCAAAAAACGCTTTTTGACTAACTCTTGCCACCGCGTTGTCCTAAATATTTGCGCCGATAATTTAGATTAAAATGAGTATATTTCATATTTTCAGGCGTTATTATCTAAAACAAAACTTGATCGAGCAAAACAAAATCCACATGTTCAAAGTTTTTTTTGAGGATCCGCAATTTGTTCTCAAAAATGGAAATTCTAGATGCTCCTGCCGGAATTACCGCTGGTAGGGTGCAGTATGGACCCCTCCAAATTTGTACCCTATTTTCAAATACCGCCAAAAGTTTCTGTTAAAGGAGAGAAAAGTGAAGTTTCACTACCCCGGTCCAGGTCCCAGACTTCCGCGTCGCGACACATTTGTGGCACGACCAGCGCGACCAAACTCAGATTTTTCCAGGCCGAGGAGAATGCGCGAAAAAGAAAAAATCTCTCGCGGCTTTGGCGATCAATATGGAGACGGCGCGACTCAAAGATTGCGACCAGCCAGGCCAGCGCGATCCAAAATTGCCATTTCCAGACTTGAGCGATCGAGGTGGAGACGGCGCGATTTTTGCGACCAAGGTGTGTCGGATGAACTATTGAGACGGCCCATTCTGCAGGGATTAGCAAACGCAAACAATCCTGAAGTTTTTTAAAAGCGCCTTCAATGCAGACACCATCTACTTCAAACGCAGAGTGCGCGATTTTTTTTGCAAAACAGGGTCATTTGAAAATCAAAATGGCTTTTCCAAAAAAGTTGATTCATTTTTTCGAAATAGATCCTGTCAAAAAATCATAAATTTGCCACTGTTAACCGTTTTCTTGTTTCTTAATTAGTGTTCATTTGACCTTTGTGTTCAGAGGTAAAAAAGATTCAAATTGAGCCATATTATACTTTATCTTTTGCAGTACAGACGGCGCTCTTCTTTAGTGTGTCGTACACTAGTTTAGCCTCAGACCAGACTGAATCCTTAAATTGCAACTGCTGCTTGAACACGTTGTGGTAGTCTGAAACAATCTCAAATTAAACTTTGCTAGCTATGTACAGGTGCTAGGGATTTTAGCAGACCGGTTTTTCACAGACTAAACTTTTATCAGACTCAGAACAATTAGCAAGTCAGAACGCTAACTTCAAACGAGGTATTTGCGGTTAGCGACCGCTTGCTCACGAGTGTTATAGTGCGCGTAAATCTTTGTTTCGCTGCTAAAGTAGACTATTCTGTTTTTGAGGTTGATAGTTTGCTCAAAAATTGTGAGATAATTGTCTTAAACAGCGTGACCCAGGAGTGAGACCCAGGAGTGTGCGTCTTTTTATGTCTATGAACCAATTATGCGTCAGTTGCATGACAGTTGTAAAACTTCTGATCCAGTTGTAAAGCTCATTTTTCAGTTTTTATGCTAAAAAATTGGTTTGCTAAACGATCGGTTCACCTATGCACAGTATCCAGACAAAATGCAGTAAAACCCGGTCTAGTCAAACCTGCACCGAGCGCCCATGGATTCTGATTGATTATAATGGATTCCCGAGACAAAAACAATCTATTATATTTCATTTCAGATGTAAAATTCAGACCGCGAAATCGCATTATATTGCCATTAAAGTAAATTCTTTTTGAAAAAAAATCCATCACTATCCATTAAAATTGGTTATAATCCATTGTTTTTGGCGCTGAAATCGATTATTTTTGCAGAGATAATCCACTATAATCGATTATTCTCAAAAGTAAAAACCAATTATAATCCATTATAATCGATTAAAATCCATTTTATTTTTAGAATTAAATTGAAATATTTTGCAGAAAATTTAAGATTTCAACTATAAGGGGGGGGGGGGGGGGCGATTGGCGGTTGCGGGAAAACTGGGAGGGATAGGGGGTAAACGGGGGAGGGGGGTACAATCATTCAACCCCCTCCCCCCAACTCTACCTTAGCTCCCCCTACCGCCGTTCAAACCTTGCCCCCCCCCCTTTGTGGCAAAAAAACAGTAATATGAAGTCTTAAATTGCAATGAACTGAAAAGTAGAGACAAAAAATATCTAATTTTTATTGTGAAATGTAAGATTTTATAAAACGCAATGCGTAGCAACTGCATTAAACAGGAACTCGTTTTTACAGTGCTGATTTAAATTAACCGGACAAAACGCGTTCAACTTGAAATTTAAAACCCGTTTTTCTCAAATTGGGTTGAGTTTAGGAAAATTTTTATGAACACAAAATTTGCTTAAAATTTTAGCAGAAATAATATGGTGCAACTTGTTTGGCGAACTTCGGGCCCAAAATTTTACCCCAAAAATAGGTCATTTTGGCTTTTCTTGGTTTATCAAAAATTACGCCGGAAAGACTCAGTCGATCACAGACATAATTATATCAAAGTGAGTCTTACGTAGCCCAACAAAATTTATGAAGGGTATTTTCACCAAAAAAAATTGCAAATTGTTTAAAAATTGTTTTTAAATAAAAAGTTGATAATTTATATAGTAAAAACGACCTTTTTTGCCTATCAAACAAAAATAAATTAACTTATACAATATTTTCGAGATTAAATCCTTGTTAAAATTTGTTGGGCTACGTAAGGGGCTCACTTTGATATATTTTTGTCTCTGATCGACTGGGTATTTTCGGCGCAATTTTTGATTAACTAAGAAATGCCAAAATGACCCATTTTTGGGGTAAAATTTCGAGCCCGAATTTCGCAAAACAAATTACACCATTTTAAATCTGCTAAATCTTTGAGCAAGTTTTGTCTTCATAAGTTTTACCTTAAACTCAACCCAATTTGAGAAAAACGGGTTTTAAATTTCAAGTTGAACGCGTTTTGTCCGGTTAATTTAAATCAGCATTGTAATTGACTATAATAGATTATATTGGCAAAGATTCTGAAGATTAAAACCAATTTTTAGTGGATTAGAATTGATTATTATGGATTATAATGTTATGAAAAAAAATATTAGGATTATAATACATTATCATTGGATTAAATCAATTATTTTGTAATTTTATTGATACTGACCGTATTTGACATTATATTCGATTATTTTCGATTATGGCTTGGTGCGGGAAGGTCGAGGGGAAGGCACGCACGACATGTTTTGCCACTTTTTGTTCCGACTTTCGATACGAAAGCAACGGAATATTTGTGCTCGGGGTGGGTTTTTTTTTATTCAGACAAATTTTGACTTTTTAACTAGCCATTTTTGCCGGAATTTTTTTTAATCATTCGAAAGCTATTTTTGTCCTGAGCCTAAATTTGGAAAAATATTTCACGTGTGATCATTTTTCGTAAAGTTATGAGGGTTTAAAGATTGCCATTTTGGCCATTTTGACCAATTTGGGACAATTAGCGCGCGATACAATTCGCGCTAATAACGCGTAAGCGGAGATTTAATCCGTCTTAGAAATCGTTCCAAATTGGTTGAAAGAAGCTTATTTGCCATAACTGGTTAGATACAAGGAGCAAAATTTATTGTTTTGTACTTTATATGGCGTGTGGGGTGATGATTTGTTTGTCAGCTTCTAATCTTCGTGCATTCATCTTCATTTGATTTTGATATATTTGATAATTTTTGATATTTTGTCTGTTTTAATTTCGGAAATGTAATAAACTTTAAATTTTGTTTTTCTTCGATTTTCTTGGGTATGTTTTTTGGTGATTACAAAAAAATTGTGCTCCCAAAACTCTCATGATTTTTTTTTGTTTCTGCAGTGAATCTATATAGACGCAGGTCAATTCGAGTTAGTCGAAGTCGCATAGAAATCTAGCGAGGAACATTCTTTTTACAGCATTATAGACTGTTTTTGGTTAGGTTAAAGTTTTTTTTTAGTAAGAGTTGGTTTTGTTCCGACTTTCGATACGAAAGTAACGGAATATTTGTGCTCGGGGTAGGTTTTTTTTCTTCAGACAAATTTCGACTTTTTAACTAGCCATTTTTGACGGAATTTTTTATATCATTCAAAAGGTATTGTTGTACTGAATTCAAATTTAAACAAATATTTCACCTGTGATCATTTTTTGTAAAGTTACGGGGGTTTAAATATTGCCATTTTGGCCAATTTGGGACAATAAACGCGCGATATATTTCGCGTTATTAACGCGTAAGGGAGAGTTAATCCATCTTAAAAATTGTTCCAAATTGGTTAAAATAAGCCTATTTGCCATAATTGGTTTGTTACAGGGATTGAAATTTATCCTTTTGTACTTATATGGCGTGTGGGGGAATGATTTTTATTTAAAAAATTCAAATTTTAGAAATTTTTTTTTCATTTTGTTTTTTTTCATTGAATTTTTTAAATGTTATTACTGCTTCATAAACCTTAAAAGGCAGTCGGAACATTCAGGGCTTTGCCCTGAAACGAGCAGTCTTGTATTATTTTGTTGCCAAACACTTTTTGTTCCTACTTTTGATACGAAAGTAACAGAATATTTGTGCTCGTGGTGGGTTTTTTTTTCTTCAGACAAATTTCGACTTTTTAACTAGTCATTTTGACATAATTTTTTTAAATCGTTCAAAAAATATTGTTGTCTTGAGCTTAAATTTGAAAAGATATTTCACCTGTGATAATTTTTTTGTAAAGTTATGGGGGTTTAAAGATTGGCATTTCGGCCAATTTGGGACAATTAACGCGCGATATATTCCGCGCTTTTAACGCGTAAGCGGATATTTAATCCGTTCTAGAAATCGTTCCAAATTGGTTGAAATAAGCTTAATTGCGATAATTGATTTTTACTAGCAGCGAAATCTATTCTTTTGTACTTTTTATGGCGTATGGGGGGATGATTTTCAGAACAAAAATTCAAGTTTCAGAAAAAAAAATTTCATTTTGTATTATTACATTCAATTTTTTTATGTTATTACTGCTCCATAAACTTTAAAAGGCAATCGGAACATTCAGGGCTTCGCCCTGATACGAGCAGTCTTGTCTTATTTAGTTTTTAACAATTGGCTCAGTAACTGTTCCCAAGTTTAGTTCGGCTAATCAATTTAAGTAAAATTAATGGAAGTTGTTCTAAGCATGGTTGTTGCATGGAGGGTGAGGCCGAAGTTAGAAAATGCTCAGAAATTCCTGACTGCTGGATTACGTCAGTCGTCGGTGTATACTTATGAAATGTTGATCACGAAAAGCAGCCGTTTCATTTTCTGATCTTGTTCGGTGTATTGACATTGCAAAGCATCTATTGATTTATGCATATTCGCATCAAGCTGATCATGGCTTTGGGTTACAATATATATAAAAATATATTTCAATTCATCTTCTTATTTTTATTCGAAAGAATAAACTATGTGATTTTTATTATTTATATAATTATAAAGTTTCAATGTTAAGATATGGCTCAGAGAAAAAAGCATTTGGAGTTAGATTGAGTAATTTTAGGGTTTTTGAGATAAATATTGATAATAACAGAATAATTATACTTTCAATTAACTGTAGCGAAAACACGAGCACTGTGCTAAAATAACTATTTTTGTTAATGTCAGTT